TCTCAGCCTATCTTCATACTGGAGGTGCTCCAGCCCCCTGATCATCCTTGTGGCCCTTCTCTGGATTTGTTCCAACAGTTCCATGTCCTTTTGATGTTGAGGACACCAGAACTGCACACAATACTCCAAGTGAGGTCTTGGGGTAGAGCACAAGAGCAGACGGCAGGATCCCCTCCTTGGACTTACTGGTCACGCTCCTTTTGATGCAGCCCAGGATACGGTTGGCTTTCTGGGCTGTGAACGCATACTGAAGACAGCTCATGTTAAGTTTCTCATCATCCAGCACCCCCAAGTCCTTCTCGGCAGGGCTGCTCTGAATCTCTTCTCTGCCCAGCCTGTACCTATGCCTGGGATTGCTCCGACCCAGGTGTAGGACCTTGCACTTGGCATGGTTAAAATTTATGGGGTTGGCATCAGCCCACCTCACAAGTGCGTCAAGGTCCCTCTGGATGGCATTCCTTCCCTCCAGCGTATCAACCAAACCACACAGCTTGGTGTCATCGGCAAACTTGCTGAGGGTGCACTCAATCCCACTGTCCGTGTCCATGACAAAGATGTTGAACAAAATAAGTTCTAACACTTATCCCTGAGGGACACCACTCGTTACTGGTCTCTAGCTGGACACTGAGCCATTGACTACAACTCTTTGCATGCGGCCGTCCAGCCAGTTCTTTATCCACCAAGTGGTCCATTCATCAAATTGATGTCTCTCCAATTTAGAGACATGGATATCGTGTGGGACAGTGTCGAATGCTTTGCAGAAGTCCAGGTAGATGACATCAACTTCTCTAAACCTGTCTATCAGTTCCATAGCCCCATCATAGAAGGCCACCAAACTGGTCAGGCAAGATTTCCCTTTAATGAAGCCATACTGACTGTCACCAAGCACCTTGTTGCTTTTCATGTGCCTTAGTATGCCTTTCAGAAGAATCTGCTCCAAGATTTTGCCAGACGCATAGGTGAGATCTGTAGTTCTCTGGTCATCCATTTTCCCCTTCTTGAAAACATCACACGGCTTTTGGATTGGACTTCTCTGTGCTGGTAGTCAAGTCCTGACCTGACTTACAGTCAATCTTGGGGACACACATGGTTGCCCAATATTATCCCTCTATCTCCATCAAAGCTTACGCAGGGTCACATCCCAACTGCAAGCTTTGTACTACTGCGTGCTCTTAAGTCATTCCCAGGAAGGAGGAAAGGATGGACAGCACAGATTCAGTCATTTCTGCTCAGGTATCAGCTCATCCTGTGCCTTTTGGACAATGAGACACAGAGGTCCAGGGAGGTGTGCTTGGGAGGAAACAGTCCCTCCTCTTACTGAGCCTCACTTGTCACCAGTGGCCAAGACATGCCCATGATAAAGCGACCAAATCTATCATGGTGTTGAGGCGGAAGCACAGGGAGATGATGGCTTCCCCTTTGCCTTCTTTCACCAGACTGAAGTGCAGAGATTTCCAGCCTGTTCCTTAAGGAAGTGTAGAGTATCCTCTTTCTTACAGCCCCATTGTTGTTTCTCCCCCAGCCACCTCCACAGGAGGAAGCCATACACAGTCCCTCCCCACTGCTGGCAACAGAGGGATGCAGAGGGCCACCCTTCTCTGGGGGAAGAGACAGCAGCACAGCCACAAAGCATCTGGCTGGCACACTGAGAAAATACTACATAGCCTAGGGCAGGCAACAAAACTGACATGAACGCATGGTAATATATGCTCCGAATAAATTTTACATCATTTGTCATTATCAGCGATTTGATTATAGCCCCACCATGGCACCAGAATAGCGCCCACCATTCAGCTTTAAGGGACATAAACTAGCGGGAGAAGGCCATGAATTGAAAATATCTTCTTTTTGCACTACTGAAAAAATTATTTCCAACCTAAATTTATTCTTCAGTTGTTTTTTTTTTTGTTTTTTTTTTAAATAAAGCCGCCACAAACCCAAACTAGATCTGTTCTCACCACAGACTTACCTTTAAAACTCATTGTCAGATGAGAAATAAAAACCTCTGAAGTTTCTCCAGTACTTGACAGATCCTACAGAGGCCACCATGCTTTTTCTTCCCTGGTTTTTACAATTTTTGCCAAGGACATTACAGCTGCAACCATTTATTTAAATGTTGTTACAATATGATGCTGCCTTTATATCACAGAACCAGTTAATAACTCCTATTCACCTCTTTAATACCAACATAAGCATACTCTTTGCTTCAGTTTGTGTCACTTCTTGCTGCTGCTGCTAAACACTGAATATTCTAATTGTATTTCTGAATCTGCCATTAGGAACCTTTATATTCCATTACAAAGAGACACTGAGACAGGAGGTAAAACTGGAAAGGAGTTTTATCAAGTGGTCTCAGCTCTGCTCCCTGCCACAGTTTGAACACAGAGTATGTTTCCTGTTCTGGTTCGATTCCAGCTCTTCACAGTGATGTGCAGAAAAATAACCAGAAACTGGATTTGTGCTCTTTTCTGCCTTATTTGTTAGCTGTTTGGGTTGTTTGCTTTGGGGTTTTTTTGTTCAGTGAAAATTCTCACCTTCCTGGATCTGTAATGCCTGAAGTGTTCCATTCAGTCCAAATATTTTCCTCACTCTTAGCTGATGGAGCAAATTACGTACTCACAGACATGTGAAAGTTTCTTATTTTTTAACAACAACATCTGAATTGAAAAAATAAATAAAAAAATGTGAACACCAGAATAAAACTCCTCTCCGCAAGAGTGAGATTTTATTATCCCCAGCACCATATTCCATCCAGGTCCCTCATGCTTCAGCTGCATGAGAATTATGAGGAATTTTTGAAGCACAAGCATAAGCCTGAGCACTCTCAGATGGCATGTCAAATATGACACTCTTATCTGGGCCTCATCTGGTTTAGGCTGGAGGTAAACACGCTGAATTTCTCTCTGTGCCAACAAGGTTATAACTGCTGTTTTGCACCACAGTAATAGTATTAAATCTTATTTGATTATTTAAAACAAACAAACAAAACCCCAAACAAAACCAAAACCAGTGGAGCGGGTAGCTGGCAGGCTGAATACAGACAAAATCTGAATATGGATAGCTGAAAAAGAACAACACAAAGGTGTTTTTGCATAACTTCATTTTAAACTATCAACACGTCTGCCCAGTACATTTAAAATGCAAGTACAGATATAACTATCCCTTCCCTATACACTGATGACTCGACAACACAACTCTGGCCTCCAGGTGTGAGTAGTAAAGCAGTAAAATACACTTTAGTGAGTTTTTTAAATCTTAAAGTTTAAATCACACAATCCGTCTCTCAATTAAACTGACTTCAACCAAATAACTCAATGCATGGGACCTAACAAGTCTAGCAAAATCAGATAAATCCTCCTAGCTTCCATGAAACAACAAGCTTATGCATTCAAAGGTCACACAATCTGTTGTAAAAGAGTGTAAGACAGCCACCTCTCTATCTCATGACAAATACTGAAGCATCTCTAAAAGTCAAGCAGCAGATCAATTCTTGCTGGATGTACAGCATATAAATGTCAAGAACTTTTAACATGTGAAATCAAAAGGAGCTTTTAAAGTTATCTAGGTTATTTAATTTTTAAGTTATTTAGGACTCCCAGAGGTACTGATGTGCTCCCCCTCCCCCAAAGCCACAGGCTGATAGTGTGTGTGACAAAATATCGTCAGTCCCAAATGGTTAACAAAAGAAAAAACAAAAGGTACTAAATATCATCTTCTCGTGTACATGCAAATTTTATTTAGATGATCAAGTCATCTTGGAAGACAGCATACTGGCAGGCGGTGTACATTTAAGCTTCACCAAAAGCACATGACCATTAATCTCTTCCTTGGGGATTTCATGTAAAGCTGACAATTTCTGCTTCCACCGGTAATGCTTATTTACTAAACCCCAGATTGGGCTTCAAGCTATCGTTCTGAAAAGAGAACAACTTGTCTGCACTGCAAAGCACCATTTCATCCTAGCTGTGTAGCAGGGACTCCAGATTTTTTCACCTTCAAGTTGGGGGTTTTAGCAGCCCACCTAAATAAATTAATAAAGAAAATCCTCCCCAAACTGAAACAAGCCGCCCAAGCAGGGCAGGCAGGCAGGATACACACAGGCACCAGAGCAGTTAGCAGCCAGAAGCAGCATACATACTTCAGATACACAAAGCAAGCAACATTTGAACATTCTTGCCAAATGAGATTATGTGTTTGTATACCTCCCTCTCTCACACATGCACAAACCCACACATTACACAGCAAATAATGCTCGCAAAACAAAACAAAGACCCTTTGTTAATGTTCCATGAGGTTTTGCAAAATCCCCCTCTTTGTTTAAAACTGAACTAATAGTGTTGCTCGAGCCTGATGATTTAAATAAACAAAGCTTGTATAGAGAAGAAATATAGATTTCTTTTAGAGCAACTGATAACATTGGAAAATACAGACGAGCTTTTGAGAACAGAAGCCCCAATTTACAAGCATCTTTATTCAGAAGATAAAAAAAAAAAAAGAAGAAAAAAAGTGGTAAATACAGCAGCCATTCAAATGCAGGCACTCTGAAAGGGCACAATTGGAGCTTAAGGCTTATCACAGCCAGATGTGTTTTAACAGAATCTCTTACGGTTACCTCCCACCAACAAAAGTGCTAATACCAATACGATTTTAAAAAAACACCCCAAATTTCCAAAACCCAGAAAGTTTTCTCTGGTTTCAATCCCCAGCACCTTCAGAACAGTGTTAGTGTGAAGGAAGGAAAGGTGTTTTTTTCTTCTTAAAAAAAACAAACAAAACCAACCCAAAACAACAAAGCAGCTTCACAGTTAGAACTGAACAAAGTATCACACTGAAAAGGATCATTCACATAGCATTCTCTGTGGAGCACTCTAATGAGAAGCCTCTACAGCAGTCTCTCTAGACTCGCTGCGCTGATGTACACATTCATTTTGCAGGGCTTAACAGCATCCCTACAATGAACTGTAAAGCTAAGACAGTTTGCTGACAACACGTTCTCCTACCTGAAGCTTCATTTTCCAGCACAAAGGCATGTGTGTATCCTCAGTGTAGCTTCCCCTGCTTGCATGACTCCTGTTATCCAGACTAAAGAGACGGAGCTGTGTAAGCAGAGCTGCTGACTGCCCTACATTTGCCTGCAGATGAAGAGAAAGAGTTGGTGCTGTACTTGCCTGGGCTTGTTTAAGCCCCCTAAATATAATACTAGTGTAGCTCAAACTTGACTATTTCCTCCAGCTGATTCCAGTGAAAGGATCTTGTGATGAATAATGCATGAGAGCTTCTATGAACATGCTCTATTCCTTGCAGCAGCTGATGTCCACTTCTCCCCCCCTTCCCGAGAGCAATCCCTAGCAATTTTTGTGCTATGAAGCATAAAAATTCTCCCAATGTCCAAAAAGCAAGCAGGATGCTCCTCCCAGACGCATTTTCTTTCCTCTATTCATTAGTCAAGCCAATAGATCTGGTGATTTTCTTCTTTTTTTTTAAAAAGAAGATAAAACTCCATGCAGCTGGAAATCAAAGAAAGCATGATAAGCACAGAGCCGTATCTCTGGAGTACACAATACTAAAAAATTCAGTTGCTTAGTAATTATTTTTCTTATTCCTAAGGGCTGGGATGCAACAGAAGCTGCATAAAGATGAACACGAAAGACAGCAAAAGAATGTGACAGTCCGGAAAACAATACAGCACAAAGAAGGTGAGAAAAAAACCAACTCTGCTTGCTGTAGCTGGCAAATTCAGTTGACTGTTTACAGAGAAGAGAGACTGCTTAGGAGAACTTAGTGGGTGGAAGAATATGCGAGATAAATTCACATGCTTCTTGAACAATAAATTCCATTGTGTCAGTACAACTTTGTAAGCTAACTACAAAAATCACTTCCTTTCAGATATTCTTTCACAGAGCGAACAAACACAGGACTAACTTGCAATTACTTTATTTGCAAGTGCAATTACTGCAATAGGCAAATGTCAATATGTGCCACTTGCAGATTCAGTTTTATTTCTCAGAACTGTTTTCCTCTGATTTCATTGTTAGATACACAACGAATTATTTAGCATCTCTTATCAACTACCTGCTACAATCCAAGTGACATAGCTGTCCAAACACAACTGAAAAAGATCTCACAAGCTGTTAGCTTCCTGTAAAAGAAATGTGGCTTTAATGTAGCGTGTGTGCAACTTCCTAAATCCTGAACCCATTGGCTCTTCAGTTTGGGCATAACTCTCTAGACATCTTTGGGGCTGCATTTCTCAGGTCACATCAAAACTCAGAGACAGTCTCTGCTGCCTACCCCTGCCTTGGGTGACTTATGCAGAAAATAAGAGATAAAATGCGAAGACAACTGAAAGACCCCAAAAAGAAAAGGATATTTAACACATTAGAGTCACTTGGTGGTCAGTCATGAGCAGCTGTTAACTTTTGAAAGACTCCTCTTTCACCTCTGCTAACATTGGTATTCCTCCAACACTAACCTTAGGATTCTCCAGACTACATTATCCAGACAGTTGCATTTATTGTTGGGTTTTCCCTGGAATACCCTAGGAATGCTGTACACACCACAAAGCAGAGGAGATTTCCTTTCCCTTCAACCACACTTTTTCCCAGACCAACTCCATCTTCTCACCCTCTTCAGATAACTGCACCCCATTCAAAAGTATGTTTTACCACAGTAGTACATGACACAAACCTTGGGCCCAGGACCACCCTGCCCATACTTTGTATCTCATACTCGCTCTCTCATGAATGGTCAAGAACACCCTGAGTTGGATGGACTTTTTGTCTCATCCACCGCTGTTGGTCCCATATCCTGAGCACTCTACATAACTCACCGTTTCTCCCTCCCAGACCAAGTACTACTTTTTAAAAAGGGAAAATCCAACACAAAATCAGCTCTACACACACTATCAGACTGATAACAAAGGCTATGGAAACACTTCACTTATCAATATCCTATGGTTAAACCTCAAGGAGGCAAACTCCCTCAACAGTTAAAAATTGTGGTCTGAATGTCTTCCCCCCAGCTCTTCCATTACAATTTTAAAACTGGGAATCAAGAAGCTTCCAGAGAATTACTAGGGCTACTTAAGTGAGAGGGCAAGGGCCCTGCATAAGCCCAGCCTTGTACACCATGAACTACAAGGTAAGCAATTGGGCTGAACACGATGGATGCAGAAGGACTACGTTATAGAGAGATCTTCTGTTTTTGCAAAGGAAGCCAGAGGGAGTACGCCTTGTTAATGGAAACATACTCATATGGCATACTCAGATTCTGCACTATCAACAAACAGTAGCAGATTAAATATCTGAAATGAATCATTTAAAGTGCAACAGACTTAATAGTTTAGAAACAGGGCAATGTTATGTTCATTCCTGTATGACTAAATTTCAGAAACCCCAGCAGATTGTAAATAATAAGCTGCAAGATTAGCCCTATCAATAGCAGGGTTCAAAACTCATCTCAGTATTTTCATACCAGATAAGCTTCGATTAAGCAGCAGAATACTCTTCCCTCCCTGCGTCAGTCATGTGGACTCTCATATGGAACTAGTGTGAACAAGCACTTTACAACCACAACTTCTGTATTAGCTCAACCTGGGCAACTGCACTGCCATGAATTCACTCTCTAGATGTTTTTAATATCTGGAAGACAGAGCTGAATTCTGAGAGTATTTCTTTGCAGAAGCTCTAATTCTGAAGCTAATGGAAACGAAGTGCTGGATGGTAGGGGGAAATCCTCCAAATACACATTGTAAGGCTTTATATGCAGGGAAGTACGTATTTAGGCTCAGTTAAGAATTTCACATAGCCCATTGGATATTGACCCTTGTCCTCTTAGTACTTCAGGAGGTTAGGCCAAAGGTTGTGAAGGTTGGTTTCTAAATTCAATAGGTGTATTACAGCCATTAAGAAGAATTACGGAAACACAGTGAGTTGAAGAGAAATCCGGTTTAATGACATTCTGTACCAGTGCTATGTCACTGAACTTTCAGTAGAACTATGTCTGCACAGGGCCAACGGGGCTACTCCCATGACACCCATGGGTTACAAGTAAGTTTCTGGGAGAAACAAACCACAAGACAAACAGATTAGTGTGAGAGTAATTAAACAGCTTTTAATATTTCAGACAGCTCTCTCCACTGGGTATTGAATTTAAAACATGAGTGAATTAATGCATATCTGCCTTCTAATAAGGATCCTTCTTAGGGATTTAAATAAGTGTTTTCCTAACTTTTTAAAGAATAATGGACTCTATGTTCTGAATCCATCTGTTCACTTAACGTAGCATACAAAGTTTGTGTTTCTTAAAACATCAGCATCTAAAATGATGGGATTTTCTCTAAAAATCTGTCCATTCAGCAAAACACACATAAATTGGAAACATGGGTATTGAAAGTCCAAAGCCATGTGGCAGAAGTGACATGTGATATTCAATTACTTAATGTCGTACTAGAGTCTTGCATCCCCCAAATAAAGCAACTTGCTTTTTGGTTTCCCCTCCTCCCAATATCAAATATTAGATTAAATAATCAAGTATTGGAATCTAACTAACGTGTTCACTGGTTATTATTTATGAGAATAAAAAGAGCAGTTTAAAAATTAAAGGCATTCTGCTGAAGAGCTTTATATTTCACTTAAAACGAACAGCATTTTGTAGCATTGACCTGCATGCCTGAACAATCACGTTGCTACTGCGGAAGAGACACAGAAGTGGTCTCACCACAGCAAGAACTGTGTATAGCAAAATCATCTTTCATTCATGCACACTTACTAGGTGAAACATGAAACGGTGTGCAGCATCAGCTCACAGACACATTACATCATTACATGTTTATGCTAGGGGACAAGCTGAATCATTTTGGTTAAGTATTTAGCTACTGGCTGCCCAGTTAATTTTACAGTCAAATTTTGTACAGTCTATTTAGTTCCTCCCATTTTTTTAATAACTGCAACCTCCTAGGGTAATTCTCTAGAAGACCATCTGCTCGTTTCCTATAAATCCTCCTTTCAGACCTTACACAAATTTCCAAGCTGCCAATCAGAACTTCTTTCATGTCTGAAAAAAACCTCCAACTATTCTCAACTGAAACATGCAGTACAAAAAGATTAGTTATCCCTGATCAGTAAAATAACGATAGCAAAGCAGGTCATTTCTCTGCAGAACATCTCACGCAGCAGGTAACTCCCTCAGTGGGATGAGCACTTGTGTTTTGAAAGGATGATCACCATCCAGGGACAGTTTGTCTCACATTTTTAGCTCATCTTATTCTCTTCCAAGTTCTGCTTTTCCAAACACTCTTTTCTGTGACCATCTCAGTTGGTACTGCCTGGGAACACCTGGTGGACACTTCCCAGGTCTAACCCCAAAAAGAAGATGGAGGGAAAAAAGAACCCATTTGTACGACAAAAGTGTAATGGGGGAAAGATAGGATGAGGAAATGTTAAAATACCAAGCAGTGTTTCCTGTCTGTGAAATCACATCATCATGCTTGTGCAAGCGCCTGCACTGCTCCTCTCAGGCTTCTGAAATGCTGCAGGCTGCACAGATCCAATGTTACACCAGACTTTTTCCAAACAAACAAAGCCGGAGGGAGTTTCAGCAATCACGAACACACTGAAGAAGCTAACAGACTTTGATCCAGCAGATGTTTCTCCAAGCCCATGTGAATTTCACAGTGAAAAAAGAAGTGAGGATTTTGTATCTATTTTTAATTAAATTAGCATCAGTATCCAAAGTCTCTACCAACCATTCACAAATACCACAGAACATCCCATGCTTCCACAGAACAGGCAGAAAGACAGTACCTGTGAGTAGGAGCTGACTTTTGACTGCTGCCTGTGCCCAATTCAAATGCTTGTCGCTGCAACAGTAAATTCACAATGCTGCAAAGCAATGTAACAATGCTTACCCAAGTACTGTGGGTGTCACTAATGCACCTACAAACCAAGAGTGGTGTATAATGATATGGTCTGAAGATGTTTTCCAAAAAGCATTAAAAGATCGATTGCAGATAAAAAACCCAACAAACCAAATCCACAAAAAGCACTTCAGACTAGAGAAAAATGGATGATTGAACATGAAATGAAAAGGCCAAGCAACTAAGGGCATATTAAGATTCCTAAATGGTTTTATT